GGGGGGGGGGAGCTGTAGAAAACCCAGACTACAGAGGAAGGGCCAGGGAAGGGGCCCTGTCCCTCCAGCTGGCAGGGAAGGATGCAGGAAGCCCCAGGCCCATTTGGGGCTTGGCAAAGGAGGGACAGGGGTGCTGAGGCATTTGGAGACAGCTACGTTTAGACTTTTTTGTGGGTGTGTGGGTCCTCTCACTGGTGACTGCCACCATGAGACTGTGCTCTACTTGCCCTGTACCCCAGCAGAAGGCCCCTTGTCAATTTAGGTTTCTTCCTCCAAATTATCAGATGTTGTCTAAAATAGGATCCCACTATTTTAGGGTGCCAACCAGCCATCTCTCCCAGTAAAGAGCCTTTCATCATATTTAGTAAATTCTCTAGTGAAATATATTTTTCAAGGCAGCAGAGTAATACTAGTCAAAGTGAGTTATGTTTCTGTTTCACGTCAGAGGGGGCATTTCTTCACAGAAAATACTATTTTTATAGTTTTTCCTGTTTTAAACAAATACTTGGATTTTTTATTTTTATTATTTAGTGTGTGAGAACTGCTTTGTTTCTGCCTCAGAAACTGATCTCAAAGGGACCCAGGGCCCAAAGCTGCTAGATAGGAAGGTAGGCTAACTCTCTAAGGTTGGGATGGCTTACCTGCCTGAAATGCTGAGAAGCTCAAATCAGTGACCACGTGGTGGGTAGATCTGAACAGGGCCAAGGATCTCCTTGCAGCAGAACGTTCGCCCGCTGGCAAAGCCCGGCTTACACTCTCTGCTCACCCTTCCTTCAGTTGGCCTGGCGCCAGACACGGTTCCTGGCTAAATCAGGTGGGTTTACTGATTGGTCTTGACTGTAGCCCAAGTGGAGTCAGGTCTGTCCTTTTCCCACCAGACCCTCTCACCCGCCCCGCAGCCCCCTCTGCTTTGCGCAAGTTCTGCCCACCGCGTCTGCTGGAAGGGGTCACTAGTGAAGGGTGCCGCTGCACTTGGGCAGGATGCGGGGCCCGGGGAGGTCTGGAAGGGCGGGGTGCACGGGTTGGGAAGGAGGTCAGAGCACAGGGGAACTCACAACTAGACGCGAC